AGCAACAAGACTCCCCAAAAAAGTAGTAGAATAGCAACCGATAGGTCGACGGAAAAGAAGAAGACCCAGATTAGAATGATCTCTCTCTTCAATCCTGACCCCCCAGGGGGAGTGTAGTGGTTGACGTGATGTCGTGTATTGTCCGTCTCCAGAGATCTCTGTCTCTGGTCATTTCTTTGAATTCATGCATAGGTCTTTGGCATATTCCTGTAATTTGATCTATCCATCTTGTTGGGGATCTTCCTCGTGATCTTCGGCCTTCTACCTTTCCTTGTATTATGAGTCTTTCCATGTTTTCTGTGTTTGCTCCCATAACATGCCCAAAATATTTTAATTGTTGGAGATGGACTTTACTAGAGAGTCGTTGGCTAACTTTTAGCTCTCTTAAAATTGAATTATTTGTTCTGCGGTCGGTCCAAGGAATTCGTAACATTCGTCTCCAACAGAACATTTCAGTGGCGTCTATCTTTCTTCTCTCCGATTGTCTCAGAGTCCAAGATTCACATCCGTAGGTCAGTATTGGGAATATTAAACAGTTGATCAACCTCATCTTTATCGCTCTTGAAATTTGACAGTCCTTCCATATTTTGGTCATTTTTGCTGTGGCAACTTTTGCTAGATCAGATCTACGTTTAATCTCTTCTTGTAATGACCCTGTGTTTGTGATTAATGATCCCAGATATAAGTATGAGCTCACAACCTCGAACCGGTCAATTGTGGTTGTGTGTGGATGATTGTTGTGTAGTCTATCCACTATCATGATCTTTGTCTTTGATATGTTTAATTGCAGACCAAGTATTTGACTTTCGTTTTCGATCAGTCGTATAAGTTCTATCAGCTCTGCTTGACTATTTGCAAGAAGGGCTGTGTCATCTGCGAAACGTAGGTTGTTTAGTTTATGACCATTTATTGAGATGCCCTTTTCCCATCCTTCAAGTGCTCTTCGCATGATATACTCCCCATATATGTTGAATTATTGTGGAGATAATATACATCCTTGTCTGACACCCCGTTCTGGATGAAATTCGTTCGAAGTCAAGTACTTTAACTGATCCAGTAGTGTGTTCATATAGTTCGGTTATAAGCGTAATTAGATGTTGTGGTACGCCTACTTCTTTTAGTATTCGCCATAAGTGTCTCCACTTGACCCTGTCGAACGCTTTACGGTAATCTATAAAACAGATGTATAGTGGGATGTTGAATTCCCTAGATTTCTCGATTATCTGTCTTATATTCAGCAGGTGTTCTCGAGTACCTCTACCTTTGGTAAATCCAGTTTGCTCTTGTGGAATTTCTCTTTGAAGGAATGTTTTCAGTCTCTCATTGATTATATGTAACATTATCTTGCTGGCATGGGATATAAGAGAGATAGTTCTATAATTATCGCATTTATGGAAGCTGCCTTTTTTATGTATGGTCGTTATTGTAGATTTTGTCCAGTCTTCAGGCCATTGTTTGGAATGCCATATTTGGTTACAGAGTATATGAAGTAAGTTTTCGCCGGTTTCTTCTGTGGCTTTAAGCATTTCTGCTGTTAGAATGATAACACAGCGTAAACAAGTCCACGAGTGAAAGAAATTTAACAACAAACGACTGCGAAGATAGGAAGAGATGGTGTTTAGGTATCGGACAACGTCGAAAGACGTTCTAAACCGATGTATATATAAATATAAATTATGATCTGGTGCACTTCTGACATCCTGTTGTTTTACTATACCCTGCATATGCTAGTATTAGGCTAGTTTTTTTTTGTAATCAGTCAGATAATACACAGAAGAATTTAACAGAAATGCGAGTCACAAATCTCATGAACGCAGTTTGGTTTCAGGGATGCGTTAGTTACAAGAGAAGCCTTGTTCGCCGTTCAGGTATTATTTCAAAGGTACAGAGACGTCAACTGCGATATTTATGTATGCTTTATCGACTACCAGAAAGCTTTTGACATAATCAAGCACGATAAGTTCATGGATATACTAAAGGCAACTGATTTGGATAACAAAACCTTCTAATAATCAAGAACATATACTACAACCAATTAACAATCATTCGGGTGAAAGACCATGACTAACAGAATAACTAACAGAATAAGTTGCAATAAAGAGAGGAGTACAACAGGACTGCATACTCTCTCCCCCTATTATTTAACGTCTATTCGGAACACGTCATGATCCAGGCCTTAGAGCATATTGAAGAGGGTATTCTCATAAATGGTGAACGCCTGAATAAAATCAGATATGCAGACGACACCATCTTATTTGCAGGAAGTCTAGAAGGTTTACAGACACTAGTAACGCAGTTGTGGAGAATCAGTCAGGAGTACGGGCTTGATTTTAATATCAAGAAAACAAAGTACATGGTCATCAGTAAGAAGTATATTCCCACCCAGTCAATTACTGGTAGATCAGCAACAAATACTCCAAGTGCCCCATTACTACTATTTAGGAACCACCATAAACGACCAATAGGTCTACTCAGTTGAGATAAAACAGAGAATTGAAAAATCCAGGTCAGCGTTTGTCAGAATGAGCAAGATATTTAAGAGCCACGATCTACCCTTAAAAACAAAAAACTCGTTTATTGAGATGCTACGTATTTACAGTGCTGCTCTATGAGGTTGAATCATGGACACTAGCCGAGGCATCCATGGGAAAACTCGAGGCGTTTCAGATCAAACGCCTTGAGTTTGACCGAGTAACAAACATTGAGGTTCTATGCCGATGGATAAGACACGTGAAATTATATCCACAGTAAAATAGCGCAAGCTAGAATATCTTTGACATATAATGCGAAACGACCATAGATATAACCTGCTGCAACTTATATTACAGGGAAAGGCCTACGGAAAGAGGGGACCAGGAAGGACCAGGACTATTTCGAACTGCGGTCAATAAAGTTAGAATTGCCATGCTAGTTGCCAACATCCGTAATGGATAGTCACCAAAAGAAGAAGAATCAGTCAGAGGCCCTTTTCAGGTCAATAAAATCAATTTTCCTAATATTTATCTAATCCTTTACATATAAAGCAAATATGTCTATTTATCATCCACAGTGTTATGTGATATGTCGTATGTCGCTATACGTTCAATAATAACGAAGACGATGTGTAGTGCCCTGTTGGTAATCTCTTTATTTATTTTTTCTATCCAAATATTATATTCGTTATATATTCCCCTCTTATTTGCTATGTCCCATGTTAGGATTCGATTAGTGGTTTATTTTGTCCTCAGCCTGAGGCCTTCTCTAAGTCAATAAATCAAATTGATGGATTGGACCGTTACTTGATGGAAATTCATTTTATGTAACAATAAAACACTGAAAACTTTGTTTTCAAACTTCCACAAATTTTTTTTTTTTTTTTTATTAGAAATATTACTAAAGTGTCATTGAGTATACAAATCCAAAAGGCATAGATTTTGCATGGCATATTTTGTCTCATAGGTATTTTTCTTTATCTTCCGTTTTCATTAGGTAGACATATTAACAATGACAAAAAGAAGATGATTACAGAGGCTGTAGCTATTAGTAATTGATAAGTTATTTCCATTTACATTCAGTATTTCCCTTCTGCTGCTTTTTGGTAGACAAGCATTGAATGTCACATTTTTTCTGCCATAGAAAACATTTTTCACAATTTTATTGAAGTAATTGCAATTTATTTGATATAATATTAATGTAGTAATAATGACAAATACTTTGGTGAACTATAAGGGTCTCTTACTGTGTACTTCCCAGAGGCCCAAAACCAACATCCTTTGTTTGCTTCTTTTGTTAGACTTGAACACCTTGTCTGTATAAGGTGTAGTTAGATGATGTAGCTGATTATTTACCTAAAAATAATCTAAAATAAATTTTGTGGAAGTTTGAAAACAAAGTTTTCAGTGTTTTATTGTTACAATAAATCAAAATTTGTCTTATGGAAAATCTATTTTTATCCATAGTGCCCTATGCTATCTTGTATGTCGCTATACGTTCATTAATAATGATGATACTGTGTAGTGCCCTTTTGGTAATTGCCTTGTTTGTTTCTTCTATCTAAATATATTCTTTACTTCCGCCCCTTTCATTTACTATGTCGCATGTTAGGATTCGATCAGTTGTTTGTTTTTTATACAGTCAGAGGCCTTAATTAAGTCAATAAATCTAAATTTGTTTTAAATATAGTAAATAATCTATTTTTATCTATAGTGCCCTATGATACCTGGTATGTCGCTATACGTTCATATACGTATTCATACGTAGTCATATTTGTGACATGGGGTCTCGTATATTACGTATATTGTGTATATTTTGGTATATTATCTATTTATGCATTTAAATCATTTGTATAATGTATGTCATACGATATAAAACAATTACCACTTATAGATTTTCTTCTTTTTTTAGTTCATTTCTTAAGTTCATCGACTTCATTTGGAAGATACTCGATTTGATTTCTCCTAATTCCTTTTATACAGTAATTTACATAATATATTGGTATTTATTTGAATTATCTGTTTTTTCTGTCTTATTTTGAATACCATCGAGTCATTGTTTATTTATCGCTATTCTCTTCTCTTCTTTTCAATTTCTTATTCAAACCAGAAGACGGACTAACTTTTAGTAATTAATAACGTTTACCAATGTTGATAAATATTTTTCCCTGTAGGTATCTCCGTTGGTACAACGACTAGATTAAATTGAAAACAACAAACAAACAGTTCATGTGAAAAAACCTACACAATACCTGAACACACTATGTTTGCTATTATTCTATATGTATATTGTATAAATTTTTAATCCTGTAGGTACTTGATAACATTTTTCCTTTAATTCCTGGACTAAAGCAAATCAATAAAGAATCTCGGCTGGCGCCATCTGTACATGCAAAGCCAAAACACCCGTCATGTTACAATGCATATTACAGGTTCCATGATTTCAGGAATATTATTTCGTAAACTGTAGGTAGATGTCACTTTCACGCATTGATTTTGGAAATATTTTTTAAGAATAACAATTTCAATTTCAATGGTCTTGTTTAAACAAGTATTTTTATGGCATAGTTATTAAATATCAAGTTAATTAGGACTGTAAATTTGTATTATACAACAAACAGTACATCTGTGTGTTTATAGTTGGATAGAGAAGAAAACCATCCCGGTAAGTGTATGAAATCTATAGACTTAACCTAACTTTTTTCAATTAATCCTAACTTCTGTTTTACTTTTTAGAATAATGTCTTTTATGACTGTAGCTCATTACTTGCAAATTCTAGACAGAAGTTGGAGAAATCAAGACGGAAGCAAAGTTGCACAGTTTATTTCTCTGAGACATGATCATGCCAAATATCCAAATTACCAGGTATAGTATTGCTTTCAATAGTTCTTTAGTTATACCAATGCAGTAGTTGAAGTACACTTAATATATGAATTATACAAGACCGAATATAATTCGGTCTAGATAATTCTATTCCTACTTTACTTAGTATTCAATATGTTTCCTATGTTCTATTGAAAAGTCTACTGAACCAAAAGAACCGAACCCTACTTTGCAAGACCATCCATTTACAAGAAATATTATTAAAGTGTCATTGTATACAAATCTAAAAGGCATAGATTTTGCATGGCTTATTTTGTCTCATAGGTATCTTTCTTTATCTTCTGTTTTAATTAGCTAGACGGCTTAACAATGACAAAAAGAAGATGATTACAGAGGCTACAGCTATTAGTAATTAATAAGTTCTTTTTATTTACATTCAGTATTTTCCTACTGCTGCTTTTTGGTAGACAAGCATCAAATGTCACATTTTTTCTGCAATAGAAAATATTTTTCACAATTTTATTGAAGTAATTATAATTTATTTGATATAATATTAATGTAGTAATAATGACAAATACTTTGGTAAACTATAAGGGTCTCTTACTGTGTACTTCCCAGAGGACCAAAACCAACATTCTTTGTGTGCTTCTTTTGTTAGACTTGAACACCTTGTCTGTATAAGGTGTAGTTAGATGATGTAGCTGATTATTTATCTACTCATTTGGTTTTGTGTTGAGGCAGTATATTCCCAATATAGCTTATAGTTGTCATTCCCAAGTATACTGTCAGAAGCATATTGATTATACTGGAGATAAGTAGTTGAATCCTAAAGCTATGGTTTGGTAGAACAGTGAGCGACGCATCACTTACAGTCAGTCGAACGCCGCGCACGTTCGTCAAAATCAAAGAAATTGTTCTCTATGATAACATTTGTTAGGTTCTGCTGAGCTACACACACTGCAAACTGATAGCTGTGTATGTCAACGGTGTGCGCTGGAATCAACTGTGATTTGATTTGGACGCAAATATTCAGCTGAGCTGACAGCGTACACATCTATACAGAAATTATAATTGTATTTTTATATAGTATTAATATTGTAATAATTAAGTGATGTCTACTAAATTTAAAAACACCTTCTGTATTAAGACATGAAAACATTTCGTTTACATTTTTATTTCTTTTATTTAAATTTAATGTTATCAACTCTTCTTCTTCCTACTCTTATTGTAATAAAATTATTGCATTAAGTTTGCACGAATTCATTTTTTTTAATGTACAATCTTTGAGCGAATAAACGTGAAACCAATTTCTAAACTTATTTTCAGAGCAACAGAATGTTTATGTGAAATAATCTAACACCCAAAACTGCTGTGAGTTGAGTACAGTAGATTTTGCTGTGCACTGCATACTGTTCTAACAAACTGTAGCTTAAGTCATGCTATTTTTATATGCAGTTGTGTCAAATGCCTGACTAGTGTCATGTTGGATGGTTTCTTGAGCTTGACATCCATATTGGCATCTTGCTCCTGAGGATTTTTGAAGGTACATTTCAGTTAATTTTTGTTTGGTATAACCTAATCATAAATGGTGAGTAGGAAATCTTTTGTTTTAGGCAACATCTTTTCTGATGTGAATCAGAGTCAACAGACTCTTAGCTGATTATGTTAACCATCCAGGCTTACATTTTTTTAGGAAGATGCTTAATGCACATTTAAACATCTCACTTTAAAGGTCGTCAAACACATCAGTCACGTCCCGTCACAGTCCCGGCGCTGAACCGAACGATCCGTCATACAAAATATTCTTTAATAGAAATATACCGCTGGCATTCACATTCATCAGTTGACGAAAAATTTTCCAGCTGTCAGATAATTAATAGTTCTGACTAAAATAGTAGTTGTGGCATCAATATATGGTTTTACATGTTTCAAAATTACTAAATTACAAAACTTCAATTACAAAAGAAGGCACTGAAGATTATCTGAACTAGATCGAAAATGTCAAGTTATGCTCCTGTATAAAGTTTGACAATACTTTTTAAAACAGTTATAATAAATGTTTTATACCTACATACAAATGTGAGGTGTTTTACTTCTGTATAAGTTTTTTAAACGATAGTATACACCCAACTACTGGGATTTTTCCATTAATTTTTTTACGATGTTTTTGTGCCTTTGTAAAAAGGGGTTCATAATTTTCTCTGAAGATTTTCTATGTCTGTCAAGATTTATATTTTTGTGAGTAACATCCCAGAGCAGATATCTGGTCTTATCTTATGATAGGGTTTTTATCTGTTGAATTTTTGTTATCTGAAAATCATTTCGGTTATCCTGAGGTTTTCTTACTTTAGTAGTGTCTTATTCTGTATGTTTTACTGACAGTCCTGTGCTGTCTGTAAGTTTTATTGGTAAAAGGTAATATTTATTCTGTTAAAATGCCTAATTTTCTTTAATTTCGTTTAGAGTTTCCTATATGAAGCTTCAAATGATCTTTCACATCACTGTCCATGCCTAAAAAGTACATCTGCATTTATTTCCAGAAAAAAGATAGAAAACTTCTCTAAATATTTTATTGTAAATCAAAATCCATATAGACATATTGCTAATGTTACATAATTTGAGCACTAAAATATAATTTTAACTGTATGTGCATAATCTGAAATTTTGGAAAATGCACTTGTTTAGTCAGTTTTTGATTTTTTGTTAAATACAATTTAATTAATGATTCAGTTTTGCTTAGGTAGAGCAGCCTGAAGGTATTGTAGATAGATTCTTGACCTCTCCTTTAGACGAACTTATATGTCATCATTTGAGATGCCTCTTTCATATTGGAAAACAAAACTACTTAGAAGCATATAGATCTCAAAGTACCCTAGTACAAAGTTTTGCTAAAATATTAAAGGTAAGTTCATTTTTCTAACATATCTAATATATTTCTTTTCTTTTACTGCTTTATTACTCGATTTTTTACTTTATATTAACAATTTGAGTTAATTATAATTAATGTTTTTGATATTCTATTAAAAATGTATCTCAATTAAAAGTGAAACTTAACAGTTATATCCATTCTTCGTTATGTCCATATACTTACTAAACTGTTATGGTTATATATTTCTTTTTATATAGAGTAGAGTAAATTTTTATTTGCATAAATTTTTTAACATAATTGAGCGAATAATGTCCCATTATTAATCACAGATTAAAAAATATATATTGACATCACAGATTAAAATATATTAACATTACAAATTAAATATGCTGATCAGAGAGAAGGATAGCCCAGGCACTAGGTTAACTAGGTGTTGAAATACCTTTTTTTTAAAAGCACTGTGGTGTGTTTCCTGTTTAATGTCAGATGGTAGACTATTGTAAAATTTAACACATGCATGCAAAGGACTTCTCTCTGTTAGAGACAATCTGCGAAGTGGAAAATTCAAATTAAGGCTTCTTGTATTATACTCATGATTGTAAGATCAGCTGGACTACCTTTTTTAGACTATACAAACAGTGGAGCTATCTACTGCAGCACCTCAGAAGATTACTTCATATCACATAACAGAATAAAAGTTTGCATAATATACTGATAGTAAAATCCCCTAGTCCTTTACAAAGCTCTTGGTTAGCTGCATATCCCCATTTCTGGGATGTGTTTTCTGTATTTGTATCAAATACCCATATTTTATCAAGTAATGTACATATTTCTGTTATAAAAAAATTACTAGTACTTATTTGTCTACATATTTAAGTTCAATTATTTTATATTTTTAGTCACAAGTAGATGAAAACTGGTCTCTGCCAATATTGTATGTAATATCATCAGATCTCAGGTTGATAGCTCAGCAAGCGGAAAAACAAAGAGTTAGTAACACTGAAAATCCTGGAGAAATATTAGAAAAAGCTGCTGAATGCTTGATCGGATGTTTTAGAGTACTAGCTGCAGATAACAGGTAAATGTAGAATGGAAATATGAGCCCCAAAAACTAACTTTTGTTACTTTTAGGTCATCTGATGAAGATACTAAGAGAATTGGAATGCTTGGATTGGTTAATCAGCTGTTTAAAGTTTATTTTAGGATCAACAAATTACATTTGTGCAAGCCCTTGATAAATGCCATTGAGGCATCACAATATAAAGATGTGTTTCCTTTAGGACAACAAGTTACATATAAGTAAGCACTTTTTTGTTACCTATCTGTGTTTTTATTGGACAATATAAATTTAGATTGTAATCTAAAATGCTAACAAATTAATTTTTGGCATATTCCGCATTCAATTGTGAATAAACTTCATCAAAAACTGTAGAAGAAATCCTTGCTTTAAACATCAACATATTTTCATCTGACATATACCAGTAACTGATGGGTTTTTTACCTCTTTTCAATACTTTATTGGCTTGCAAATTTACACTAAGTGAAAATACTTTATGGTCACTGGAGTGCCCCTCGAAAACATTTGATTTATAAAGATGTGGTTCGATATTTGTCAATATGTAGTCCAATTTTGTAGTTGATGTATTATTACCCACTTTATCTACAAAAACTGTTGTAGGAACCTCATATGTGATTCTCAGATTATAACTTACTAAAAACTCGTTAAAATATTGCTTATTATTAGACATGACAAGATAATCAATGTTTAGATCCCCACAAATATAAATATCATGATATGACTTACTGCATAACTCCAATATATTATGTAATTTACACAGAAAACTGAACTTCTGATGGCGAACGATAAACACTAATAACACAAATTTTCCTATTTGCTATAAACAGAGAAATCGCACAGCACTCACACACCATTTCTTCACTAAAGTTAGAGACATCTAATGTTTTGAATTTAATATCAGCTTTGATATAGATGATGATCCTCCATGGATATTGAACTTTCAACATAAATAAGAGGCGATGTTGTATCCATTTAAGGTCATAAATTGGATGTTTTCTTCAGTACACCAATGTTCTGATAGACAAATTATATCAGGTGTTTCTTGCAATGTTTGATGACAATGACTTCAAGTTTGAGTGACTTATTTGTCAAAGATTGAGCATTTAGTTGCAATATTTTTAAACAACTGTCTGGTGATGATAAAAGTAACAATTCTCTTGGATTGACTTGACTAATCCCTTCTTCCATCCCTTATTGATATATTTCTGGTATATTTGTGAGACCATAAGGCATTCTTAGAAATTGATACCTACCAAAACATATAGCAAAAGTGCAAAGTTGTGAACTTTCTTTGTTTAATTTTACTTGCAAAGGGCCCTGTTCAAATCTAAGTTCAAATCTGTAGGATCCAGGCATAATCTTAAGCCATCATTTTATTTCCTTACCAGAACATATGCATTTACCCAGCCGGCACTCCCATCAGCTTTTTCTATAATCTGTTGTTTTCAAGTTTATCTAGGGTAACCTTAAATTTCTTTTTAACAGAAATTTGCTCCTTTCTAGCAGGATAGACTACTGGTGTAGCACCTTCTTTCAGTTCAATATGATAAAGTTTTTCCAAACAACCTATACCCTTAAATAATGTAGCATATTAGTGAACCAGTGAACCAACACTTTCAATTTGATCAACTGAATCTATTCTCCTTGTTAAATCAAAATCTACACAATGTTTTAGCCCTAATATAGGACCAATTTTCAGGTCAACTATATTAAATGCAATAGATTTTATTTTATTTTTATAAGTACAATTTAATACATGTTTGCCAACCACTGGCAAATTAGTTTTTGTATATGATATAAGTCTTCTGACAATCTTTAAGTCTGCCGATATCAAAGTTTATCTTGTGCAAAAGTACTTAGGTATTATATTAGCCACTGATCTTTGCCCTTATTCTTGAATTTCAGGGAGTAGAGAGTGACGTAAAAGTAGGCGTGGCTCCTAAAACCGAAAATGCTGTATTCTTGAAAAAAACTCTCCTAATGTGTGAGAGAAATGTCACTCCCTAAGGGAATAACAATTTCTACTGATAGTAGGTAAGAGAAATTGTAAATGGGAGCGAAAATAACAATACATAACCTTTCAAAAACCTAGGGAAGCATTTTGTTTTTTAAAAGTTAATAAAAGATGGATATCAATCATACGCTCTACTGGAATTATATTATGTTTAATGATGTTTTGGAGGCAGTTGAAGATCTTCAAATTGGCCGAGATGTCCTCCAACCAACGGACCCATCTCTTTTGTCAGATAGAAAAGTTTTACAAATTTTAAAATATATTTTGGAATATTTAAAGGTAGCAATAGTAGCAGGGTAGCAGTTAAGATTAAACTGCTCATGAACTGCTCCAAAAAATCACTGCTTTTTGTCACCGTGACAATACTGGAGCAGTCACATTTTGTCACAGCTACACAAAAATCTCAGGTTGGCCCACCACTAAGGGGAGTGATCAGGTTGACATTTGACAGTATCTTCTCCTTTGTCAATAATTAACTTTTGTGATTGGTTAAAATTTTCATTGAAAACCCGGCAACACTGTTCATAGTTTCTCTCATTCCTTTCTACTCCTCGTATTCAAGAGTACAGCTTTTTAAAATCGAGAGAAATTATGATGGAGTAGAAAAGCGAGTTAGCTTAGTGGGGAGTAAAATTTTCTCTCGATTCAAGAATAAGGCCCCCTGTATCTAATTTAAAATATACAGATTTGTCTTCAAGTTTCAGTTCTTGAACCCATGATATCTCATTAACATATTTGGTAAAATCAACACAATTTACATACAAATACTCCTCATCTGAATATTCACGTTCTACACTACACACATTTTTCTTGTAGACACTTTTTCTATGTTTATACGTAGATGGGAAATGAAACCAAACTTTCCACACATTTGACCAGATGCAGGACACTTGGTATAACCGTGTTTGAAAGAGCACTTTCCACATTGTCTTTTTTTACTTTTTGTTTTGTCTTCTTCTATGTCCAGTTTTCTTTCTTCTCTCTTTCCCGAATGTTTTCTATGAACATTGTCTATACTTAATTCTTGAAATGACCCTTTTCTGTTACCTATAATGTTGAACTCTTCTTTGGTTTTTCCGATAAACAAGGCATGTTTGATTACTTCATCTAGGCTTGAAACTGATTATGTATGGTTGAACTGGTATTGAAGTAGAGATTTCAATAGAGGTACAAGATATATGGTGTTATATTTAAAACATCAAAAGTGACATAAAATTATATGAAAAATAAAAAATCTGGCATTGTTACAAACATTAAATTTTAAATCTTTATATTGCAAAATAGGTGTCTCAGTTTTTGTAAAATTTAGACCGTCCAGTTAATTTACTCCACTCTATAGATTCTGTTATTCACTCTCACATATATAGAAAACTTGAAGAAAACATTAGAGAACCCGAGTCTTGAGATGCTATGTATTTTCTACTCTTTTATATGGAGTCGAAGCCTGGACCTTGATGGAGGCAACATCCAAACAATTAGAAGCCTTCGAAATGTGGTTATACCGCTGCATGCTCAGAATTTCCTATATCCATCATGTTACAAACAACACCGTGATCCAACGTATGAATAAAGATCTGGAATTTATGCGTATCGTGAAAATCAGAAAGATGACATACTTAGGGCATGCGATGCGCAATGAGAAGTATTAACTAATTCAACTAATTTTACAAGGCAAGATAGAAGGCAAAATATCTTAAGGGCACAGAAGGACATCGTGGTTGAAGAACATCAGACATTGGACAGGAATGACTACCATACATCTATTTAGAGCAGCTGTCCACAAAGTTGATTGCGGACCAACTTGATTGCCAACATCCACAGAGGATAGGCATCAAAAGAAGAAGAAGATAGATTCATCCACAACTAAAATGGAATTGTTTATTTATAAATGTTGGAGTAAATATCAATCTTCCATATATTCACTTGTTTGTAGGCTTGTGTGGCCTTTCTGAAAATGCAATATGTCAACCGAAGAAGATTATTGAACCCCATATTACAATCTTTAATATATTTTATAAAGAAAATATATTATTTCCTGTTATATTAATTTCTAATCAAAATCTCGACACCACATTATATAATTATTGTGTAGCAACAATTTAAATATTAAGTACATGTTATTATTTTAGGTATTTTTTTGGCCGAAAATCAATGTATGACAGCAACTACAAAGCCGCAGACAAACATCTAACCTACGCATTCGAAAATTGCCATAAGTCTAGTAGAAAAAACAAGAGACTAATCCTTATATATCTAGTTCCGGTAAAAATGCTACTTGGCTACATTCCAAGCCGGAAAGTTCTAGAAAAATACGACATAGTGGTGGAATTTTGGGATTTGGTCCAAGCTGTTTGCCAGGGAAACTTAAAATTATTCGACGACTTAATGGAGAAGCACGAAACGTTTTTCATCAATAGCGGAATTTATCTTATAGTAGATAAGTTAAAGATCATAGCTTACAGGAATCTGTTCAAGAAGGTGTATTTAATTCTAAACACACATCAAATACCGGTTGAATCTTTACAATATGCTTTGGAGTATTTAGGCCAAGATGTAGATCTGGATGAGACGGAGTGTATAGTAGCTAATTTAATATATGAGGGTAAAATCAAAGGGTACATATCACATCAGCACCGAAAAGTTGTTGTTAGTAAACAAAATCCATTTCCACCTTTGTCCAGTTTAAGCTAGTGTTAATTTTAAAGTGTGTTACTTTTTATTTTTATAAATAATAAATAACTAAGACTAATTCTTTTGTACTTATTTTAAACTAAAACTATCAAATAAATTTGAAAATTACTAACCGAAATTGCGAAATTATTATTAATATACATTGTTTAAAAACTATAAAGAGTGTTTTGGATTACACCCAATAAGTTACTAAAATTCTAACCATGTATCGACTTTTGCTTCCACAGTTGAATAAGTGAGAAGAGAAAGCAAACATGTCACAAAAATCAAGTTAGCGGTAATAAGAAAAACTTCCTCTACTGAAAATTATCCGGTATTTATCACAGTTTTAATTACCACTGTATATAGCAATCTATCACTGATCAATATTGATACAAAATTTAATTAAGGCAACTATTAGAGGACAAACAAATATTTTTTGACCTATATTTTTCCATGTAAATGAGGAATGTTCTCATCCATGGACGTATAAACATAGATGGACACAGCAATAAGATACCTTTAACACACAATGTTTTGAAGCTTCCATAGAATGTGATGCTTCCGCAATGAGCATAAGCGTGCTTAAATTTTTACTCGCGGGTAATTATTCAGATTTTAAAAATTGGAAGTAGTAATAATGTATAAAAGCACGTTCAAATAATTAAAAAAAAAACAAGAGTTTAACTATTAACAAATCACGTCTTTATAGAAAAATTAAAATACAATTTTATTTGCTTTAAAATTAATACAATAAAATATAGTTGAATTCAAGTTAATTTTTAATAGGTATCAAAATAATGCTACAATAAAAAATCTTTATGTTTTTTTCCTAAATTTGCTACCAAAATAGTTCGATCGTCAATATTATTTGGAAACCTACATAGAAAAATAAATGAGTTTTATTCATTTCACTAATTTATTTGCATCCATGAGAAATATTAAATTAAAAAGGTACTAAACAGATCTTTTTTAGTCAGATGAGCACTAAAATATAATTTTAACAGCTGTATGTGCATAATCTGAAATTTTGGAAAGTGCACTTGTTTAGTTTGTTTTTGATTTTTTTTTTAAATACAATTTAATTAGTGATTCAGTTTTGCTTAGGTACAGCAGCCTGAAGGTGTTGTAGATAGATTCTTGACCTCTCCTTTAGATGAACTTATATGTCATCATTTGAGATGTCTCTTTCATATTGGAAAACAAAACTACTTGGAAGCATATAGATCTCAAAGTACCCTAGTACAAAGTTTTGCTAAAATATTAAAGGTAACTTCATTTTTCTAACATATCTAATATATTTGTTTTCTTTTACTGCTTTAGTACTTGATTTATTATTTTATATCAACAATTTGATTTAATTATAATTAATGTTTTTGATATTCTAATAAAAATTCTGCTCAACTATTGTGGTTATATATTTGTCATAATGCTCAACTATTATGGTTATATATTTGTCTCTATAGTAGAGTAGAGTAAATTTTTATTTGCTTAAATTTTTTAACATAATTAAGCAAATAACATGACATTATTAATCACGATTAAAAAAATATACATTGACATCACAGATTAAAATATATTAACATTACAAACTAAATATGCCGATCAAGGAGAAGGATAAGCCAGGCAGTCCGCCATAGTATAGAGCTCATAGCTATTTTAAACTAAAACTATCAAATAAATTTGAAAATTACTAACCGAAATTACGAAATTATTATCAATATACATTGTTTAAAAACTATAAAGAGTTTTTTGGATTACACCCAAAAAGTTACTAAAATTCTAACCATGTATCGACTTTTGCTTCCACAGTTGAATAAGTGATAAGAGAAAGCAAACATGTCACAAAAATCAAGTTAGCGGTCTTAGCTGATCTTTTTTAATCAAATGACGTCTACTTACAATTTAAATATGTCTACTAATTTCATGAACTTATATCTTATTCAATACATTAATGAATAAACCCAATGGTAAGCCTATTAAAATGTAAACAAACACGCTTCCTCATCTTAAATAATGTAAATTGTATGTACTTACAAATGAAATGAGAGATCGGGATGTAAATATTTCGTTTATTTTATTTCACTTTTCACAAATATCACTCAAAATACAGCCATAATATCAAAAAACAACTTTTACTAAAAAGTAAACAAACATGGAACAGCATTTTAAGTTTGACGTAGATCCATAAGAAAGAGAAATGTAAACAACCATTGCCATTTATAAATAGTTTTCAGTGCTTCTACATATAAAATAATTGATTGATATCTATTATACGCTATTATTAAATGATAATGCACACTTTATATTTTGAATACAATTAAATATATTAATCTCACCAATAAATTATTATTTTGGTTTGATAGCATCTGTAGAGTATAAAATACGGAGTAATATTTTCAGCGACTCGCGAATAAGAAATTTTCAAACAAAACGTGACAACAGTTGAAGGTGCTGAGAATGTGACCTATTCAAATAATTTTGACTTCAAAATTTTATGTAAATAACTGAGTCCATCTGTGTTTATACGTCCATGTTCTCATCCAAGTAGGGTGCAAATTTCATTAGATGTTCTAATTTATTTTTCTTAATCGGAACTCTGACTTGAGAATAGATCAAGTTGACAGACAGTAACTCTACTTTGGTGCCTGTAGAAAGTATGGTCAACAATTCCATGAATAAATTCATGAGCCAATTTGACTTTTAGCGTGTGAGTTGCAAGAAAAGTGTACGAACTTGCTGACAGAAAACACTTTTTGGGAATATGCCTACTTAGGGATTGGTGTGACATTTCTTTTGCAATATCTAGTCCACAAGGTCTTATAATCTAAAGATGATAACTATTATCATTCTCGATCCGATGCACTGTAAAATTTCTTTTAGTATAACCCTTCTTGATATATATAGAAGTAGCTTTTACCGGTTTTTAAGATCGTGTATGTTAAACACATTGACTCTCAGTTGAATCAGGTAAAGTGTATCTTGGATAGCTGTTACTGGAAGAAATAGATTTTGCATATAGTCAATGCATATTCCCTCTATGATGGATCCACTTTGGTAAGGGCTACTAGCTGATTCATTTTAGCAAAAAACTTTTTTGATCGTCGTACGTGCACCATATTTTCAGTTATTGCTACTATCTTAGCATTATTATCGAGTAGCTATTTAATATGTTTATTTAAAAAATTACCTAATCAACGCATCGCCTTTCTAGCCGAGGGCTGGTGAAGGCAATTAAATTTTACGACGTTTTCGTCAGGAATCTAGGGAATATCGTAATATTAACATTAGGGTTATGTTATATATAGATATTGTCGGTCGAATTGTACCACCGAAGCAAACTGAATTAAATAAATCTTTAAAGTCACATTTGTGTATTTTAATACAAAAGTAATTTTTTTGCAATAGAAATTTAATTTTGTATTTTTTCGGAGCAGGAGTGAGTCTCTTGTGAAAATTAACCGTAGGACATTCCTAACGTAGCAATTATAATTTAAATATTTGGACTTTATTTTTAGATCTAGTTTTTCGCAAGACAGCTCTATAAAATCCATATTTAACTGAAACATCTGTAAATTTTTCCGAAAATAACTAATGCAATATTTTTGTATTCAGTTTTTCGTCAACTAGAGGTAGTAATGCTATCATAATAAAAGAAACTATGAGTTATCATCAAGAAATAAGTTACAAAATAAAAATGTTTCAAACTACTTTAGTAAATGTTAAAACAAAATCTTTTGAGCTTATCGTTATACTGCTGTCTACTCTTAACTAAACCATAACGTTAAAGAATATCATTATATACTTATAATTTTTGAATAGACATTTGGGAAAGTATTTAGTATTTTTTACATATTTTACATTCAATATTTTTATTACTGTATTACAGGAGTGGCCAAACTTTCAACAGTGTGACACGATCTGTTCGTGAAAAGTTAGTCGTGCCACCAAAAATTTCCTAACAAAAACTTCAATAGGTAGGTGGAATTTGTATGAAATAACAAAAAATATATGTAGCTACAATAGTATATTATTCCACGAGCATCTAATGATGGCTATTACTCACGATGATGAAGTTTGCGACACGAGCGAAAGCGAGTGTCGTAATTCTTCTTGTAGGGAGTATTTTTATACAAAGTCTCTCATATGGTAATCCAATAATTAAAACTTTTCTATTTTTATAGTCATCCTATCCTTAATACCCACCTTATCTTCAGTATCCGATGATAGCATCAGTTTTAACACTTAATATAGGTACTTATGTGATATTGTTCTCTTTGAGAGTTTAGGCATTTACTTTATAGTCATAAATGTACCATCTAAAAGGTTTTCAATCTTTAGGTGATATTTACATCGTAGCAGGTCTTTCCTTTTATTTATTGTTTTGTAGGTATATATACCTATAAAAAAAAGTAGATGCTAACACTGAAATAATTGGTAGACTATTGTCGCCAATTAATATTGTTTTGAGAAAATGCTAAAAATAGTAGCTAAAATAAAATGTATTTAATTGTTTGTAATCTTATTTAATCTACTATATTGTCTTGAGAATGAGCCACAAATAGTAGAATAAACTCGTCATATTACGGTTGATGTTGATTGAAATACCTATTGCATATAATATTTCAATCAACGATATGACTAACATCTCATGAAACTTTTTAATTGTTTCTTTACCTTTTTGTCTGAATTTTTTTTATGTATTTGATTGTTTTTTATGTTATTCAATTTAATTTACTAATGTTTATAGTTTAAAAACGAAATTAATAAAATATGTTGAATAAAAATAAAAACTAACTATAACAGCGCACCATCTACCGGTTTAAAACACAGACTTCCACGTTAAATAACCAGTTGAAGAAATTTCTCCACCTTGAACATTTTACATTGTCGTAGAGATGGCGCGCCAAGCATAATCTTATGCATCTATGCTGTAGGATTAAATCCCAGTTTATTTTTCTTTAAATAATCATTTATTGATTAACTATTACGATAGCAGCCATTGAAATATGTACAAATAAAAAAAAAATTCAAAATTTAATAATTAATAATACCAATGTAATATTTGCTTCAA